ACTACACACATACTACACATACTACACACATACTACACACATACTACTGTACTGCATACTACACACATACTACACACATACTACTGTACTGCATACTACACACATACTACACACTACTACACACTACTACACACTACACACACTACACACATACTACACACATACTACACACATACTACTGCACATACTACACACATACTACACACATACTACACACATACTACACACATACTACACACATACTACACACATACTACTGTACTGCATACTACACACATACTACACACATACTACACACATACTACTGTACTGCATACTACACACATACTACACACATACTACACACATACTACTGTACTGCATACACACACACATACACATACTACACACATACTACACACATACTACACACATACCACACACATACTACACACATACTACACACATACCACACACATACTACACACATACTACACACATACTACACACATACTACACACATACCACACACATACCACACACATACCACACACATACCACACACATACTACACACATACTACACACATACTACACACATACTACACACATACTACACACATACCACACACATACCACACACATACTACACACATACTACACACATACCACACACATACCACACACATACTACACACATACCACACACATACTACACACATACCACACACATACTACACACATACTACACACATACCACACACATACTACACACATACCACACACATACCACACACATACTACTGTACTGCATACTACATATATACTACAGTATTACATACTACATACATACTACAGATATACTACTTTACTAAATACTATATGTATAGTACAGTACTACATACTACAGTATTATATACATACTACATATATACTGCAGTACTAGAGTACTTGAGTACTGGAGTAGGGATGTAACAATAATGGAAATATCATGATGTTGTATCGTCAAAGTTCTCATAATAATATCGTGGACCATCACAATATATAGAATTACAAGTCTGTTTGCTTAAATGAAGAGTTTTGGTGCAGCAACAGCAAAAAAAAACAAAAAAAAAAACACACAGGGAACTACATAGACCATGATCCTTTGCTCCATTTCAGTGCAGACGACAAGAAGAAATAACAGTTCTAACACTGAGTGCGTTTACATGCACATCAATAACCCGGTTATGATCGGGTTTTTTGAGTGTCCCGGTTTCTTGATGGTGCATGTAAACGCAGTAACCCGGTTTCAGTAACCCGGTTATGGCAGTATCCCGGTTATTAGAAACCGGGTTACTGTAGCTGGTTTATTCCGATAGTAACCGGGTTACTTGTGGCATGTAAACGCAGTATCCCGGTTACTACAACATAAAGTTGAGTCGCATGCGTCCAAAAGACACTTTCCAGCCTTTCACCACAACAGTAGTGACATAAATAAATTGACCAACAAAAAGTGACCAAACGAGTGAAATGACTGTAAAATAAAGAGCTGCGCTAAACCTGCACACGTACAATCTGCACTCGTACAATCTGCACTCGTACGACCTGCACACGTGTGACGCTGAAAAGCTAAAACATGAACTATCTCCTATACTCTATACGCACAGAACACACTTACCATCATTAGCGCCTCTTCTGTCACAGAAATAACTCACATAATCCACAGAGTCGTGTCATTTAGTCCAAAAAAAACTGATCACATCAGCGGCGCAAGGAGCGAGTTGTTTTTATCGCCGCTAACAGTTTATGCTAATTAGCCAAACGGTCTTAAGTTTCGTTTCTGTAAAACGTAAACAAATGTGATCACAGCTGAATGATCTGATCAAACGGGCTGATGTGTCTATAGTCTTTTTGGTTTATATGTTGTAAAGTTGAGTTTATTTATGCAGAAGATTTTAATGAAGAATCTGCGCAGTGGATTGTGGGAGATCTCGTAGCTCCTTAGCATCTTATGCTAAAGGAGCTCACGGTATGGCTAATAACCGGGTTATTGATGTGCATGTATACGCACTCACTTTTAACTCTTAGTTCTTTGGATTAAGTCTTGTCGAGGCATTTTAAGAGGATAAAGTAGAATATTAACAGTTTTGTTCGCCTCGACAAAATATCACAATAAATACCGTACCGTGAGGTTCATACCGTGACGATATCAGAACCGAGAAACGTGGATATCGTTACACCTCTATATATTTATAGACACACACACATTTTTGTATAGTTTTCAGACCATTTTAAAACATATTTTTTGCCAATGTTTGCTAATGTGTCCATTCACTATGACCATCCATGAACATTCCTCCATAGACATACATGTATACCTCCCTGCCATGATGTCACTGCAAAGTATCAATAAGGGAAGTGGGTGGGGAAAAGCGCGTTGTGTGTTTGAGCTGACGGCGGCATTAGACTGAATCACAGGACGAGTCTCTGGACGTACGGTTTTACTCTGACACTCAGTGAGATAAATCCTCACAGAGAATTGGAGCCGTTGGTCCCGTTTTCCTTTAGAGGCAAAAGTCTCTATAGTTCTGACTTTCCATTTGAACTTTTGCAGAGTACAAACCCACGCCGGCAGAGCTATTAAGAGTGACCGGATCTGAGCGAAAACACTCAGGGACACTTTGAGTCAGAGCTGCATTATTCTGAGCTGTTTAAACACACACGTTTGTAAAGAAAGGGCCTTGACTCAGTGCAGGATCTTTCACTGTGTTCACGGAGAAACACAGAGGAAGGAAGCAGAGGCCAAAGTCACACCAAATATAAGAGAAAAGAAATCATCAAAGGAAATGAAAAGGAACTCAATCAGGCTGTGTAGTACTTTGTGTAATCCTCTTCAGGGCAGGGCCTTACAGTAAACATGTATTGTATTGTATTGAGATAAAACAGGCTGCTTCCTCTAAAGTCCTGCGTCTGCTCCAAACCTGATCAACTCAGGATTAAAATTCAGAATACCGTATTTTCTGCACTGTAGGCGCTCTGGATTATAAGGCGCACTGTCATTGAATGGCCTATTTTCGAACTTTCAAACCGCACCGGACTGTAAGGCGCATTAAACGAAACACAACAGTTCGATAAATCAGTCAAACTTTATTTAACGCGTTTACAATAACTCTTAACTTTGTTAAATTGTGACGCATAAAAAATACTGTTCATCCAGCACGGCCACATCCTTCTTGTCATTATCCGAGTCAGTGTGGTTCCTGTTCCTTGGAGCTCAGTTCAGTGATGATTCTGGTCTTGGTGAAAGCTCGGACCACAGTTGATCCTGATACTGATGTCTCCGGGCGTCTCATGTCTCTCTGATCTCTGTCTCTCTGTCTCTCTGTCTCATCTCTCTGTCTCACTCTGTCTCTCTGTCTCTCTGTCTCATAATCCTGTCTCTCTCTGTCTCTCTGTCTGTCTCTTTGTCTCTCTGTCTCTCTCTCTGTCTCTCTCTCTGTCTCTCTCTCTCTGTCTCTCTCTCTCTGTCTCTCTCTGTCTCTCTGTCTCTCTGTCTCTCTGTCTCTCTGTCTCTCTGTCTCTCTGTCTCTCTGTCTCTCTGTCTCTCTCTGTCTCTCTTTGTCTCTCTTTGTCTCTCTGTCTCTCTGTCTCTCTGTCTCTCTGTCTCTCTGTCTCTCTCTCTGTCTCTCTGTCTCTCTGTCTCTCTGTCTCTCTGTCTCTCTCTCTGTCTCTCTGTCTCTCTCTGTCTCTCTCTCTCTGTCTCTCTGTCTCTCTGTCTCTCTGTCTCTCTGTCTCTCTGTCTCTCTGTCTCTCTGTCTCTCTGTCTCTCTCTGTCTCTCTCTCTGTCTCTGTCTCTCTGTCTCTCTCTGTCTCTCTCTGTCTCTTTGTCTCTCTGTCTCTCTCTCTGTCTCTCTGTCTCTCTGTCTCTCTGTCTCTCTGTCTGTCTCTGTCTCTCTGTCTCTCTGTCTCTCTGTCTCTCTGTCTCTGTCTCTCTGTCTCTCTGTCTCTCTGTCTCTCTGTCTCTCTGTCTCTCTGTCTCTCTTTGTCTCTCTGTCTCTCTGTCTCTCTCTCTGTCTCTTTGTCTCTCTCTGTCTCTCTGTCTCTCTGTCTCTGTCTCTCTGTCTTGGTGAATGTGTGTTCTCCTTCTCTCCTCCACTGCTCCCAAGCAGCTAAACGCACTTTCACTTTAGAACAGTCTTGAGTTTAAAGTGGGCGTTGTGAGCGTGTCTCTTGACAGGTGCATTTTGAGATTAAAAGGAATCACAGTGTGTTTTACTCCTGATGCTCCTGACGACGGGAGCCGTAATGCTGCAAGTGGAGCGGCTTTGTACTTTACTAAAGTCGAACTGAGACACAACAATAAATTCATGTATAAGGCGTCTGGTTTATAAGGCGCACACTAATTTTTGGATGAAATTAGAGGCTTTTAAGTGTGCCCTATAGTGCAGAAAATACGGTATATGTTTATCTGCATCAAACCATCACAGATATTTTTCTTCTTGTCTTAAAAAAAAAAGAATGCCTAAAAACACTAATAAAAGCTTAAACTATTTAACAGGTCATATTCCAAAACGTATAAATGGAAAGAATGACATGTTATTATTAGTTTGCTCTGTGTTTTGACTTTATACAGTTATATCAAATAAAGAAACTGTTATTTGACTAAATGACTGAGACTCTATTGACTCCCAGATCTTCAGGTCACTCACAATCCACACTCATATTCTCCCACATAAATCCTTAGAGTCTAAACTCCGTCGACTAAAACACCACACACTGATTCATGAAGTAAACAATGTAAGGAGCACAGGCCTCGTTCTGTTCTTTCAGTCTGACTCACTTGAATCTAAACTGCACTCGTACAGTGTGATGATGTCAGACTCTCAGATTGGGTCAGAGGTCAGGGACAGGTCTATTGATCTCGCTGTACTTTACCATCAAATCTCCAAAAGGTCAAATCACAAATGTTGAACCTGATCATTTCTATTATTATTATTATTACTATTCATAATTATTTTATAAGATTTCAATCAGACTCACGTGGATATTGCGCAGTTTCCGTGTCCCTCGCTCCAGTCGACTCAGCAGCTTCAGTTTGGGAGCGCTCTGGAGAAACTGGTCGTCCACAGAAAAAGTCTTCCTCAGAGTGACCCTGTCGCACCCGTCACCTGCGGCCCCGCCCCCTCGCAAACCTGCTGTCGCCACGGGAAACGGGTCAGGTGACACGGGAGACAGGAAGTCACGCTGCACCGAACCTGAGACCGAAACATGAGATGAAACTTTAGACACAACACTCCCAACTGAAGCAGTCGACAGACCAAGACCTGGTTCAGACCTGGTCTAGACCTGGATTAAAAGATCCTATCTTCTACCAATCTAATGTGATGAAATGTTCCGCAGTGGAGCTTTAACCCTGTTCTATGTAGTGTCTTCATCAGAAACATCCCTGGAGTTGTGTTTAGTTTCATTCACATGTTTCACATTTACTGTCTCCCTCCCAACACTCAACACTGTTACACCTGATGATGTCATCAGGTGGTACTTCAGAAAATACACTATCACCAGACTTCACAATGATCAACTATAACTACTACTACTACTACTACTACTACTACTACTACTACTACTACTACTACTACTACTACTACTACTAACACTGCCAGACTGAGCCAGACTGAGCCAGACTGAGCCAGACTGAGCCAGACTGAGCCAGACTGAGCCAGACTGAGCCAGACTGAGCCAGACTGTTTTATGGCTGTATGGGTGAATGAGTTGATGTTTATTTCATGAGCATCTAAATTCTCCTGAACAGAAACCCGAGCTGCTCCTCGGGCCGTTCAGACAAACAACACACCCTTATGTAAAAGATAATACTCCCTACAACTGTACAACAACTCACCCACTGCACCAGAATATAGAGGGACAGATAATACTCCCTACAACTGTACATCCACTAACCCTTATGTAACTGTGCCCTGTCAATCATATCGTTCTGAGCTCTTGTATAAGGCTGAGATTTTATATTTTATTTTGACTTGTACATTTACATTTATATAATTAATTAATGATTGCATTTATACAGCGCTTTTCAAGATGCCCAAAGCACTTTACAGAGCATTATTCATTCACTCCAGACTCAGTGGACATTAATTATGTTTTAGTTGACTTCTGTCTCTTGCTCTTATTTGCTACTTATTTAGAATTTATTATTACCATTTATATTTTTTACACTTTATTTATTATTATATTGTGATGTGTGAGCTCCTGTGTCCAAATAATTTGTGTCAAAGTCTAAACAGCAGAGCAGCAGCAGTGTTGTTGCGTCCTTGGGCAAGACACTAAATGTGTGAATTTATTGACAGAAAAATCTTCGAATAATATAAAAAAGATAGAACAGTGTATAAAAGTGTATACAGTAAATTCATAACATTCATTTTAATGTTTGTTTAGTTTTATTCTGTTTCCAGTCCTCCAGTTTAAAAGTTACATCACACCGATACGACTGATGTCACTGCGCCCTCTGGTGGACATCGCAAACACTACAACTCTACACTAAAGTTCTTTAATAAACAAAAGCAAAGCACTTTCAAATATTATTACACATTTTTTCATGAATGAATGCAAACTCTGATGATGATGATGATGATGATGGGGTTATAGAGGCATTATAGAAGCATTCATGTTAAATTTAAATCTTTTCTTGTGGATGTGGTAAAAACAGCCCATAGTTGAGTGTGTGTTGTGTCCTGTGTCTGTGCACTTTGAAGTTCAAGAGGAAACTCATTATCGTTCTTGGAGAGGGAGGAGTCCAGAGGAGTCAGGAAATGCCCTCAGTAAACAAGTGTCTGTGCGCCGTGCCACGCTCAGCTCGGGCACGTCGGCACCACTCGCTCCATCTAATCACAACCTACACATCAGACGTGGCTTTATCATTCAGGACTTGTACACTTACTCGTGTTCACTCCTATCAACTCCTCTGTGTTTTCTGTTTCGCTTTGGAATGATCAAGAATTGTTTAATATTACTTCTACAATAAAAGACGTGTATCTAATGGAAAAAATAACTCATAGACTGAGATTGCAAGACGCACAAATGAAGAAGAAATGGGAAAAATGGACATTATATATGCAAAAGTAGAATATTCAAGTGTCACCTGGCTTCTGTTTCTGTTTTTATTTCCTTTTATTATTATTAATATTATTATTTCTCCTCTTTTTTCTATTTTCCTGTTATGTTCAAATACAATAAAAATAAAGTGATAAAAAAAAAAAAGAAATTCTGCACCAAAGTCTGTGACAAAACTCACACAAGACTAAACCAGTTTATATGAAACTAAACCAGGTATAAACCAGGTCTAAACCAGGACTAACCCAGGATTAAACCAGGTCTAGAACAGGTCTATATCAGGACTAACCCAGGACTAACCCAGGACTAACCCAAGACTAAACCACATCGGTTCTTTCACCTGCTGAGTTCCAGTGCAGACCTCCAGGACTCGCTGCCAGTCTCCGCCTCTTCCTCACTGTCACTCCGCTCGGAGAGGAGTCAGACTGGGTCAAAGGGTCAGAGGTCACAGAGATCACAGGGGTCACGGGGGTCAGGGAGGTCAGAGGCGTGGAGGTCAGGACCGGAGTGGAGAGGAACTGAGGATCTCGAACCAGCGTAGGGCTCAAGAAGGAGTGCACTTTCTCTGAAGGTCTGGAGACAAAACCGAATTAAACCTGGACTAGATCAGGACTGAACCAGGATTAGACCAGGACTAAACCAGGATTAGACCAGGACTAAACCAGGACTAAACCATCACTAGACCAGGACAAAACCAGGTCTAGACCAGGACAGGAGTAAAACTAATGTGTCTAATGTGCCAAGAAGGATGCACTAAACTAAACCAAACCAACATCATATATTGTCAGAACGATGCAGAGAAGTGGATAAGAAAAAAAAAGATGCAGAGGAGAGGGTCAGAGGAGAAGAAGAGGCAGAGGAGAGGGTCAGAGAAGAAGAGGCAGAGGAGAGGGTCAGAGGAGAAGATGATGTGATAATATGTTTGCATTTAAACCAGCGTGTCTGGAGTGTGCGTTTCCGTACTTTAGAGTCTTGTCTAAACAGTGAGTTCCTTCAGACCTTATCTGGACCCCGCCCTGCTTATTCAAACACGTGTTTTCATGTTGTTTTTGAGAGAGTGGAATGATCTAGAGGAACATTTATAACAGTGCTCTACAGAGACATTCTGATGGACACAGGAACAAGTGCACAGGGAGGCACAGCCAAAGACCACAGAACACACTTCCTCCAATTTCTACAAGATGAATGTGTGTTTATAAAAGGCTCACGGCTCACGTTTACAGTGCACTTATGCACAAGGGTTAAATACTGTGAAAAAATACAAAGTCAAAGATCATTAGACTTTACACTGCACTAGATTAGATTCAGACGACTTTATGAATCCCACCACGGGCAATTACTATTTTTGGCAAACTAAATCTCTGGCTGAACAATACTGACCAAAATGTATATCCTGCTAATGATAATAATGTATTTTTTCAGAAAGGTGATTCAACGTGCCATAGACCGAACCACAGACTGTTTCTAGAAGCGAGCGGGGGGGGGGGGGGGGGAGGCTTTCAGCTCCAATTTACTTCACATTGAAAAACTATCATCCCTTTTTCTGTAACTGCTGCTGTGAGCCTCGTCATTTTCATCTCAAAATGTTCGTATGAACCCACTCTACATGAACCTGGTGTTTTTATTTGCTATTTTGACTGTAAATAAATTCCCATTCCTGATATGTAACTCAGCTCCAAATTCGTTCCTGTAACTTCGGCCTCGTGAGCTTCATTTGGCCGGAGCTGAACACTGTGGGAGACGTCACGCTCCCTCAGAACACTTCTTCAGACAGTGTGTGGTCCTAACTCAGTATCAGTCACTAAATAACCCTCTTCTTTATGTTAAAAACTACAGTGAATTGACAAAAACAGATGTGTGTTCCAGTGTAGTTTGTTTGTACCTGTCCCCGTCTGCACTGTGGCTGCAGAGAGAGCGCTGTGAGGCGTTCAGGGGCTGTGAGGCGTTCAGGGGCTGTGAGGCGTTCAGGGGCTGTGAGGCGTTCAGGGGCTGTGAGGCGTTCAGGGGCTGTGAGGCGTTCTGGGGCAGAGTGGACGAGCCAGACCCAGGGACAGAGCTAGAGGATCGCACTGACGTTTGTGATGAAGAGGAGGAGGAGGAAGAGGAGTCGAGGGAGCGAGGCAGACGCAGAGACGAGGGCATACACAGCCACGCCTCCAGGTCTGAGAACTTGGAGTAACTCAGCATCTCCAGAACACTGTGGACCAACACAGACCGGGTGAAGAATGTCAGAAAGATTTGAACATTTTGACATCTTCAACTGACTAAAAACAGGCATCAAACTATTTCATAAACATTAAAAACCAACAAAAAGTTTTACCTAGTGTTGTCGCGATACTAAAACCTCAACCTTCTACACACATTTGATCCTCCAAACCGATTCTGGTTCCAGTGATGATAAAAAACACTTTTTCTTTAGACAGTTGAATGTGATTTTTCAACATTAAATGGCTGTACTTTCTTTTCTATTCCCATGTGGCCTTATATCTGAAAAACTTTTTAAAAATGCAATATATTTAATGTAGGAGTGTCAAACATACAGCCCGGGGGCCGGATCCGGCCCTCCAAGACCTTTAATCTGGCCCTCGACTGATTTTCTACTCAAATATTTGAATGATATTTTCTATTAAAATCTTGTTGTTTCTATTTATATCAAGTTTGAAATTCTTAAATAAATAAACCCCTCACGTTACCTCTCGTCCCCGACTCCAGGGAGCTCGTCCTTCTCGTCGGCCGTTTGGAAGATGCATGACGCAGGCCGCGGCGTCAGCAGCACGTACGACCTCTCACAGCTCATGTCCACACAGATCTGTACTGACAAACACACGGAACAGTGTAAAAGAACAGAAAGAACAGGTGAACGCATTTCAAAGAATGCCACTGACAAATACAGTGTTCAAATGATAAGATCAAATATTTGGAAAAAATACATAAATATAAATAAATATTAAAAGAGCTGCTCTTTGAAGCAATTGAAAAAATAAAAATCTTAATATTGATCTTGACTTTTAATTACATTTTATTCTGTCTTAATTTGTTCAATAATATAATGATTCCAAGTGCACAATTGTTAAGAGAATATTTTTTTTACGTTAGAAAACATAATTCATGGACAATGCAACAGAAAACTATATTCCTTGGATCAAATTAAACTAAAGCTCTAAATAAAAGCCTAAATAAAATCTTAACTTTAAAGATGCACTGTGCAACTTTTTGGTGAAGGGTTCAATTGGATATGTCATTGCTTTGTCTGGAATGTTCCACAGTGGGACATTAAACAGCTCTACTTTACATTTATTCAATTACAGGTGGGTTTAAAACTCAATAATATCTAGAAAAACAGATATTCTGACTGTGAGCGGAGTCGCCTCTCCACAGATCTGACATCAAACTGTCCAGGGACTGAAGGTGGAAGCACTTTTGCTCGAACCTGCACAAATGTTTATGTGTGTTGTCCCTGATAAATAACAAATAAACAAATAAACGTCTATTTCAAGATCAGGTGGTACGTGTTTGCTCCACAGAACCTCATTTACAATTTTCATTAAAGTTTGTATGGAGGATTTTTTTTGTTTCAAATTGTCAGTGATAGATTATAGATGCAGTCGCCTTGTAATTATGATGACCAAAAAAAAGAGAATAAAAATTCATCAACTCTGGACGTGGTGGGGCTAAACATTTGCCAATAGATAACGACACTGCCTCGTTATCTGTGAGCTGACAGGCTGTCAATCAAACTCCCTACGTTTCTAGTGTAACTGACTTGTCTGCGCCGCCGGTACGTGGTTTACGTACGACTGTCACACAGTCCACAGACGCGAGACGCACAGACGCTGTTTACTCCACCAACGCAACAGTTCTTTTTTTGACCTATATCTTCCTCGCAGTTCGCACAAAGTTTGTTGCGATGGCGACAAGAATCCAGGAGCAGTTCGCCGCAAAAGAAAGTCAGTTTTTGAGATTGCTGAAAGAAGAAGACAAGGGGAAAAGCAGTGAAGCCAAACTAAGGTGATTCTTGGAGATTCATTCCAGCGATGGTGCGACTGAAGCAGACGAAGAGTCTAAAGACTGAACCACTGGTCCACAAATTACTCCTGGACAGGAAACTTCTGCTTATTATGAAAACGTACTTTATTTCCAAGAGCGACACAAACGTTTTTCAGGACACGAAAGCGATATCCTATGTCTGAAAACGTCATTTTCAAGGCAAAGAAAGAGTCGCTTGCTGCTGCGTTGTAGTTAGTTCATTCGCACTGAATCTCCGCGCACTCTTCTCTGCTCCCCTTTCCTGCTCCTGTCCCCGCTGCCCGATCCACTCTTCCCCCTGATCCTCACTTCTCCGGGCACGGAATCTCCGCGCACCGCTCCCCTCTCTCCTCTCCTCTCTCCTCTCCTCTCTCCTCTCTCTCTCTCTCCTCTCTCTCTCCTCTCTCTCTCTCCTCTCCTCTCTCCTCTCCTCTCTCCTCTCTCTCTCTCTCTCTCTCTCTCTCTCCTCTCTCTCTCTCTCTCTCCTCTCTCTCTCTCTCTCTCTCTCTCTCTCTCTCTCTCTCTCTCTCTCTCTCTCTCTCTCTCTCCTCTCTCTCTCTCCTCTCTCCTCTCTCCTCTCTCCTCTCTCCTCTCTCCTCTCTCCTCTCCTCTCTCCTCTCTCCACTCTTCTCCCTGCTCCTCACTTCTCGTCCGCGAACGAAATGTCCGCGCACCTGCTCCCCTCGCTCCTCACTTCTCCGTCTTGCCTAACCAACACTGTAGTTAGTTGTTTACAAGTCATGTGCAGCACCGGCTGTAAACAAACCTGTTTCTGGCGTAAAGAGGAGGCGGGAGGAGGTGTTTCTACGTAGGAGCTGTGGGGGAGGGGGGGTGGTTTCACACATGCGCAACATTTGAAAAAGGACAAACAGTCGCTGGATTTCTCGTTCCTTGGAAAATCCTCTTATACAACCTTTAACTGTTTTTTTTTTCAAAATTATTCTTTAAGATCGATATTTCTGATACTAAAATCTAAAATATTGGAGCACAAGATTAACTGGTAAATTCCTCATTGATTGTTAAAATGGAATAGTGTCAGATGTGTGTCCTCAATCTGTGGGACAGTCCTCGATCTGAGGGACAGTCCTCAATCTGAGGGACAGTCCTATGTCTGCGGGGACAGTCCTATGTCTGCGGGGCAGGGACATGTCGGGGACAGTCTCCTATGTCTGCGGGGACAGTCCTGTCTCGGGGACAGTCCCTGGGGACATGTCTGCGGGGACATCCTCCGAGGGACAGTCCTCCGTCTGTGGGGACAGTCCTATGTCTGCGGGGACAGTCCTCCGAGGGACAGTCCTCCGGGACAGTCCTGTCTGGGGACAGTCCTAGGGACAGTCTGCGGGGCGGGGACAGTCCGACAGGGACACAGGGACAGCCTCCGTCTGCGGGGACAGTCTCCGTCTGCGGGGACAGTCTGCGGGACAGTCCTCCAGTCCTGTCGGGGACAGTCCTCCGGGGACAGTCTGCGGGGACAGGGGACACGTCTGCGGGGACAGTCCTCCAGTCTGTCTGGGGGACAGTCCGAGGGACAGTCCTCCGTCTGCGGGGACAGTCCGAGGGACAGTCCTCCGTCTGCGGGGACAGTCCTCCGGGGACAGTCCGTCTGCGGGGACAGTCCTCCGTCTGCGGGGACAGTCCTCCGTCTGGGACAGTCCTGCGGGGACACGTCTGCGGGGACAGTCCTCGGGACAGTCCTCCGGGGACACTGTCTGCGGGGACAGTCCAGTCCCTGCGTGGGACAGTCCTGCGGGGACAGTCCTCCGGGGACAGTCCTCTGTCTGCGGGGACAGTCCTCCGTCTGCGGGGACAGTCCTCTGTCTGCGGGGACAGTCCTCCGTCTGCGGGGACAGTCCTATGTCTGCGGGGACAGTCCTCCGTCTGGGACAGTCCTCCGTCTGGGACAGTCCTCCGTGGGACAGTCCTCTGACTGCGGGGACAGTCCTCCGTGGGACAGTCCTCCGTCTGCGGGGACAGTCCTCCGTGGGACAGTCCTCCGGGGACAGTCCTCCGTGGGACAGTCCTCCGTGGGACAGTCCTCCGTGGGACAGTCCTCCGTGGGACAGTCCTCTGTCTGCGGGGACAGTCCTCCGTGGGACAGTCCTCCGCATGTGGGGACAGTATTTTGTTCCAGGCCTAAACTGCGCTAAGGAACTTTAGCATGACTCTCCTCAAATCTAATGTTCCGATTTCTTGACAAATGTGGTTAAATTTATTTTATGACTTGAAAATCATTGTCTACGAACAAAAGGTTCTAAATGAATCTGTTATAAACCTTTTACAGAAAAAGTCTAACAACATAAGTAAAAAAAAAAAAGATACTATATTATATTACTATATTATATATTATATTATTACTACCAGTTTATTTGTTATAAAAATAATGTATATTTTGTCCAAAAATGATATTGTCATGATATTGTTGTATGGCTGGCACAAAACTAGCGGAATTATTGATATAGAAAATCAACAAATAAGGCAAAACAAATAAAACTATATTTCTTTTATTATTATATGTTCAAGCGGTTTTCACGGACATTTACAGTAATAAATATTTTATTTAATTAAACACTTACCAAATCTCAACAAGAGCTCGATATTTTTGTAGAGTGACACATGTAAATAATTGAATGATTGTAGACGAGGACCTGATTTATAACGACTGACCACAAAGTTTAACAAAAACTATTTAAATCAGACAAAAATAGTGGAGATTTTAGACAGAAAACACCCAAATACGCGGCTTAAATGTCTTTACACGTGTCTCCTGTTTTGGGCAAACCTCTCATTAAAAGTACGAGACGAAAAACGGAGGAATTTGTGTCTGTAATTTAGGAAAACGATGCAAATTAGTAAAAAATAGCGGTTATATTACAATAACTTGAGAGTAAAACCGTAAAACAGCGATTAAACTTGTCTGTAAAGTTGTTAAGAGTTAAATAAAGTTGTATTTCGGCTTTAATCTAATCTAACTGCTGAGATAATGCCAGTCTAAAATGCTCAAAATAGCACCACAACCACAGGGAAGTTTGCTCCAAACTTTTTACCGCGTTTCAGAGTTTTCCGTCATTCTTCTCGTTCTTTCCGCCGTGTTTTCCCCCGTGAACATCTGCGAAAAGTGGAACCGTCCCCCGCCTGGAAACGTGTCTTTGTCCCCGGAGCTAAAACATCCCAAATATCCAGCGAGCGGAGCGGCGCGGGCGGGCGGGCAGAGGAGGCTCGGGCGCTCGGGTTACACTGCGGTCTGTCCCCGCCGCCGGAGCCTGGAGCCTGGAGGAGACACGGAGCTCCGACATCTGGAAGAGGCCGGGCACGGTTTATATAGAGGGGCGTGGCTGAGGGCAGAAGGGGCGTGGCTGAGGACAGAAGGGGCGGGGCAAGCAGACGTGCGTAATTAAAGGGAGAATTAACAAAAGGAAACTAAACTCAGACACTGCAGACAGCTATAAATAAGAGCTTATATTTTAAAACAAGATAATGACGTGAGATAATTATTACTAATAAGTTTCACTTTTGTCTCCCCTTCCTTTTTTTATCACCTTCAGAGCGACATCACAACCATGGATCTATTAAAGAAACTAGATATGATATTTTTATATTTATTCATAAACTGCTCGTGTTTGGGTGACAGGGGCCTATAACTTTCAAAAAGCCTGGAATTTACCATCTTTCACTCCTATCCCAGGAAACACAGGCTTTGTGAATTTTGTTTGGAAAGTTTCAAGGATCCCTTTGCCAGAGGATATGTCATAAACAGTTAGAGATCCATCATCACAGTCCAAGTACATGCCCACGCAACCTGTGAGAGAGACTGAACTCTCTCCCATCATGACTGACGCTATAACCTCCAGTAAAGATCTTCAGAGCCCATGATTTGTTGTTGGCCCCAAACATACTGTTTACTTCGTGTTCTTTTGATAAAATTCCATGGTAACTCAGTGCAATATAAACACTTCCATTCTCCTTCAGCTGCCAGGCTGTCTCCCAGTAACAGCGCCCCTCCAGTTCTCTGGTACACAGGACCTGAGGATAGGAGTCAAATCTGTCCTGGTCATCAGGATATAGCAGGTCTTGGTCCACATATGTCACTGTGCGGTTGTTATCAGACAGCTGGAGTCTTCTGTGGGCTGTGTTTGGATCCAAAGAGAATTCACAGAAGGATGATGTCGTTACATTTGCTTACTTAAGTGAGTAACATACAAATTAGACCTACATTTCATCAGACCTGGGGTCAGCCATTCGTCTCCAGCAGGCTCCAGCCTGAAAAACAAGGTCATTTTAATTATCTTTAACTAGCTTTAGGTCTGGGAGTAGAACTACTGCAGAGAGCTCTGACACACTGCAGTCTCACCTGACAGACTGCAGGGGGCAGTGTGGCTCATCCAGTAGAGCGGTCAGGAGCTCGGCTGAGGGTCCTGGATGGTTGTAGCTCAGGTCTAACTCTCTTAGACGAGAGTCAGCAGATCTCAGAGCTGAGACCAGAGCAGCCCCCACCCGTCTGTGAGACCAGACATCCAGACAGCCTGAAGGCACACGGCAGACACAAAGCATTTATCTGCCTTTTTTGTCAAAACATAGGTCTCTATCGAGGGAAGACACCAAATTCAACATAAGTAGAATATATTTTTCTGAAAGACACCCACTCGGGATTCTTGTACATTTTCACAAAATTCACAATTTTTTTGTAAATTATTCGGGCAATGGCCACAACTTGTGAACCAATAGTAGTTTGTAGATTTTGACTGTGAACTAAGCTGTTCACTCACAAAGATCACAGCAGCTGGGGATCAGATTCACATAAGAATAATAGTATAAGAAGATGGTGAACACAGCTCTGGAAGCACCCACAGCAGTTATTAGATCACATTTATGGGGCACAGCCAAAATACAAGTCTGCAGGGGGCGCTCTTCAGTCCTTCACACAGCAGCTCCACTCCTGAGTCCTTGAGGTCGTTGTTACTGAGATCCAGATGTGTAAGACTGGAGGAGCTGAGGACTGAGGCCAGAGGACCACAGCTGCACTCTGTCAGGTTACAGCCAGAGAGACTGAAAAGAAATGGTACATGACTAAATCTGATGTTTAGACAAGCCGCTGTAGAACACTAGAACCACACTGTAGATCAGGGGTCTCCAACCTGTAGCTCGGGAGTTACCAGTAGCTCTCCACTCCTTTACAAGTAGCTCGCCAAAGGATTTCTGAATTGTACATATTGAACAAAAAAACTGAAATTTGATTAATTACCACTGTAAATGTGTTTGACCTCTGTGCACTAATAAATGTATAATGGTTTGATGTTTTATAGGCATTTAGATCTAAGGCTTGCCCTCTTATACTGAATCAATTTTTTGCAACTACAAAAATGAGTAGCTCTCTGACATTTTCATTGTGTAAAGGAGCTCACCAAATGCAAAAGGTTGGAGATCTCTGTTCTAGATCAGACCAGAGTGAATAAATCTATACTTTAAGTCAAAAGCACCTTGGAAGAGGCATTATCATAGTGTTCACAGTGTCCTGAAGTTCGAAGGTTGATTACTAGGAAGAAGAATATCACCTCCAAGTACAATCTGGCCATACAAGAAGAGGCCATCCCTTCCATCAATGATCAGGTATCTTGGAAAGTAACTAAAGGACCAGAACAATGTCCACATCACCGAGAAACAAGCACAGACTCAAAGGAAATAGATGCATCTGGACTTCCAGGAAAATTCAAAGCATGCGTAAAAAATGGCCTTCCCAGACTGATGGGGAGCAGGCTATCTGTGCATGATGCTCCATGAACGGCAGTGGTAGAACGGAAGATCATCTTCCACCTCAGAAAGTGACTTGTTTTACATCAGTGGGTTGTGACCTACGTATTTAGAATCCAGAGACAGCAAAGTGAAAAAGGGAGTCGTCTGCATCTCTGGCACTAGCTGAAGGAAACCTGAAACTGAAAGAAATCGTTGGAGCACCTTGTACCTTGTCACGGTTTGGAAATGTCCCACTTCCAAACTTGGGGCAAAGCCAGCTCTATGGAAAAAAGAGCCATGATCCAGGCAGAAGTGAGGGATATAGAGAAAAGGAATGAAAGAAAGTCAAAGCCAAAGATGGGCAAACAGGTGTGGGCATGAGAGAGTGTTGGATCGTGGATGCTGCCCAGTCTGTCGTCTTGTTTATCCTTATTTAACATGGAGCAGTCGGAGGCGGCGGGTTTACTGGAGCCTGTGGGAAAAGCCTCACTGCTTATGGCTCATGGTCTATTGACACTGATACACAGGACTCTTAAGCGTGGTCCTAGAGAGGTTGGAGCCTTCCCCTCTGGACACACAGCATTAAACCAAACTTATAAAAGTCGCCTTTGTGCCCCTTTTGCAAGACTTCCCCCATGTTTTGTAGATGTGAGATTATGACATTCTTCTGTATGTGTGAGAATCCTGGAGCAAAATCTTAAGTTTATGGACCTTACCTTTCTAAAAAGGTAAATAAAAATTTGGATTTAGACAAATAAAAAGACTTGTGATAAAACCAACGGTGAAGCATCCTTGGATGTATGTTATCTCTCAAAGAAGAAGGGGGGGAGTGTTTATAGGCGCTGGGGACCTAAATCAAAGACTCAAACCGGAACTTGACTCTTCTGGGAAAGCTCAGCAAAAAAAAATACTGTTGGCAAAAAATTAGACAAATTATTATCAAACCTTAGTATTTTAGACATATGGAGGGAAATACACCCCAGAAGAAAAGATTATACATACTTTTCGGCCCCACATTCTTTATATACAAGAACTGACTATTTTCTGCTACTTGCCAAAGGCAGATATATGGTTGAAAGCTGTGAAATTGGAGTAAAGGATCTGTCTGACCACTGCCCATTATTTTTAAAATTAGGCACAGGGACAGAGAAAAAAACTACAGTGTGGCGTCTGAATACAAGCCTGTTAAATGGTCAAATAAGAGAGGAAATTGAGAAAGATATTTGTAATTATATTGAGCAAAATGATAATGTGGAGGTCTCCCCAGCTGTGGTATGGGAGGCTTCAAGGCAGTAGTGAGCGGGAAACTGATGGCTAAATCAGTTCACTTAAAAAAGATTAAACAAGCCTCACTCCAAAAATTACAAGAGGATTTAGAAAAATTGGAAAGAGTTCACAAGAACAATGGTGACAACAGAATTATGAATGATATTAAAACAAAAAGGGCAGAAATAAATAATATATTATCACAAGAAATCCAGAAAAAAAAGATTTATACCAAGAAGTGATACTATGAGGCTGGTAGTAAATCTGCAAAACTTCTGGCCTACCAACTTAAAAAACAACAGGCAACGAGACATGTTTACAAGATGAAAAACCCACAAACAAATCAAACGGTATAGAAAACTGGAGAAATTCATAGGTGAATACCACTACAGCCAACTATATGCACAGACAAAAACTGAAAATGAGGAGTCTGAAAACTAGCAGTCTGTTTTGAAATATGTCTTTGGTGTAATGTATAGTAATGTATATAATAACGTCTCAAAGAACACCCTGCTTCTACACGACAACGTTCATTCTGGTTTATTTAATTCTATAAAAAAAAAAAAAAAAAGTATGTGGGTAAATGTCAAATGTAGGTGAATGTACTCGAGTGTATGTCTGTAAATGTGGGAATGTGGGTATATAGATATATATATGTTTATATGTATGAATATATATATATATATATATATATATATATATATATATATATATATATATATATATATATATATATATATATATATATATATATATATATATAGCTAGAGAAATACCAGGGGCTCAAGGAAGAGCTGGAGAGAGCCTGGAAAGTAAAGGCATCAGTGGTGCCTGTGGTGATCGGACACTCGAAGAGGCTTCAACAGATACCGGGAAAAACAACGGAACATCTCAGTCCAGAAAAGTGCAGTACTGGGAACAGCAAAGATACTGCGCAGAACTCTCAAGCTCCCAGGCCTCTGGTAGACGACCAGATATATATATATATATATATATATATATTATGTGTGTGTATGTATTTATTTATATGTGAGAATATGCAGATACTTATGGTACATAAGTATCTGTGGCGGCAGCGGCGGCGGCGGCGGCGGCGGCGGCGGCGGCGGCGGCGGCGGGGGGGGTCAGAGGTCACGAGTATCTGCACAGAGTTTTATCTCAGTGGAGAAGGTTCTATCACCAACTCCCAGTCCAAGTCAACACCACAGACACTCGCACTTTCACTCTGTGCTCCATTTAAATGATGAACAGAAACCGAGAATTAAAACAGAAAT